GGAGAGGCAGCTTCCTTCACTGGTGTGGCCCTGGTGGGTCCCCACACATCAGGGCAGGCCAAGACCAGCGGGGAAAACAAAAGGAGTTTGATAGGCATTGGAGGAGAAGAAAACTCAAAGTTGAGTGGGAGGGAATGGCAAGGTGAAGACGGTGGTTATGGACAGACTTGGGGACAGGGAGTGGATGTGTTTAAAATACATGAATTTATGTAACTATTAAATATTGTTAAATATTAAATAACTATTAAAATATTTAACAATTTCATCCATGAACATAATGAATTTTGGGTTGAACAAGCCTTCCATAAGCTTTCCTCCTCTCAGTGGAAACTGTCATCTACACAATGTTTTCCCTTCCAGGTACATGATGAACTAGGGGACGGGGCCAGTCTTGTGTAGGTCAGTACAGCTGCAGTGGCTTTATGGCTGTAATCCCAGGTCACGTCCAGAAGACACTGTTTCGCAGCACTCTCCCCATCCTCTGGCTCTTCCATTCCTGGCAGCTTGCTTAGAGGTTCTGGCAAGGGAACACAGCTACGCGTATACCTTTGACTGAAGACGGATTGTTTTAGGTTCTTTGCTGTGAAGAGACACTGTGACCAAGGCAACTTATAAAAGAAAGTATTTAATTTGGGGGCTTACTACCCCAGAAAGTTAGAGTCCAAGATCATTGTGTCAGGGAGCATGGAGCAATGAGCAGTGGCTGAGAGTTAAGGAAATAACCAGAGAGAGAGAAAGACAGACAGACAGACAGACAGACAGACAGACAGACAGACAGAGACAGATGAAGAACAGAGAATGGCATGGGCTTTTTCTTTGCTTGTTTTTGTTATTTTTCAAGACAGTGTTTCTCTGTGTATCCTTGGTTGTCCTGGACTCACTTTGTAGACCAGGCTGGCTTCAAACTCACAGAGATTCACCCACCTCTGCCTCTGTGCTGGGATTTAAGGTATGTGCCACTTTGCTCAGCTGGCATGGGCTTTTAAACCTCACATTCATGAGCCTATGGAAGCCATTCTCATTCTCACCACCACACTGATTCTCCTTTATTCCAGAGAGGTCTTCTTCCACCAACTGTACAGCTAAGAAAGGGACACACTTGGGGCAGGAAGGAAGAAGGGGACACTGTTCTAGCCAGCCAGATCAGCTGAATAAACCTTAGCAGAAGTCAAAACTAAATTGCTCTCACCTCCATGGCTTTTTCTTATTTATCTATTTATTTATTTATTTATTTATTTATCTATCTATCTATCTATCTATTTATTATTTATACAGAGTTTCTGCTTACATGTACACCTGCATGACACAAGAGGACACCAGATCTCATTACAGATGGTTGTGAGCCACAATGTGGTTGCTGGGAGTTGAACTCAGGTCCATGGCTTTTTCATTCTCTCTCTCTTCCTTAATTTTCCCTGAGCTTTGGAGGGGGTCATATAGATGCCTTGTTTAAGGCTGGGCACTCCACAGTCATTTATTCTCAGCTGTCTCTACAGAAAACATTGTGTGTGGGATTCTTTAGTTTTCCAGAGATGGACACCCATAACACTACATGGGGTACTTTACGACAGAACCTCCGTCCATTTTTGTCTGCAAAAAGTGACATTCCTTTTTGTGTTTTCCATCTCATTAGGAAATGTCTATTGGGCACATTTTAATTTCCACCTTAACTACAGGGACTTGATGGGAATGAGCTGAGATGGGTAGGGAGGGAAGTTGGACTTCTCCATTGCACTTTCTGGTATAGTTGGCATTTGGGGCTTTATCGGCATCATATATATCAGGACTGCACTACCGAGAAAAGGAGGCCAGGGAAAAGAAAACCTAACAGGTAGTACCAATTACTAAACTAATAACCCACCTAATACCAATAGCACATTCAGAAGAAGCAAAAAGAACTCAGAGGCAAGCATAGAGACTGCAAAGGCAGCTGTTTCCAGTAATACTGGCTAAACATAGCACACTTCCAAAATTGTATGTTGTGAGTGAGCCAGTGTAGTGATGTTGAAACCAGGAGAGATGATGGTGAAACCAGGGGAGAAGACAAAAGGGGAAGAACCCTGGGCCCAGTTCTGGAACTACAGGTCTCCATCAATTCAAAAGTTGTAAGGAACATGATGCTGTGCACCTTTAAACCCAGCAGGAGGGAGGCAGAGGCAGGAGGGTCTCTGTGAATCTACAAATGGAATTCCAGGACAGCCAGGGCTACATAGCCCCTGTCTCAAAAGATCAAACAAAACAAAAACAAACAAAAAACAAAAACAAAGCAACAAAACCTCCTCCTAAGTTCTATCTACTAAATGATTCAGACAGGTATTAGGTTAGATGTTCTTGCTACTGTGTTAAAAGGGCCACACAAAAAAACTATCATATCCTAAGGCAACTTGAGACAATGAGACTAGAAAGTACTGTATAAATTTCTCTGCTTGAGTTTTCCATGCATTAGTTTAGTTAGTTACTAGTATTCTGCCCCCAGTTCTCATGTCTTCAGGGTAGGGACGTGGTGAGGAATCCAACTTCTGCCATAGTTTTAGGAACCCATGCATTTTTCTTGCTCCTACTGTTTCTTTTTATTTATTTGTTTGTTTTGAGACAGTGTCTTTCTGTTACATAGTTCTGGGTATCCTGGAACTCACCATGTAGAGCAGGCTGGCCAGGAACTCACAGAGATCCACCTGCCTCTGCCTCTTGAGTGCAAATGTTGGGAATAAAAAGGCATGGCACTACTTTTAATTAAAGGCACTCTCATACCGGGTTCCTGTTTCTCTAGGGTTCATCATAGAGGATGGAGAGATCTGCTTGAGCTAGTCAGCCATCTTGGTAGGAATTGCTAGCATGTTTTGTTGTGCAGGCAACATCTGACGTCATCACCAGGGCCAAGTGCTCCCCACCCCCACTTCAATTTCTTTCCCCTTCCTTCCTCTTTGACTTTTCTTTCCTGGGGGCAGGGCACCATGCTCCTTTTTCTCTTCTGCTCTAACTCTTTTCCCCTTTCTTTCCCCCAAATAAATCTTTTCATATCCAGGTCCGTTGAGTGTGTGGCATTGTTAAATATATACTAACAGGGGATAACGGTTTCCTTGAGTTGCATAGCTGGATGTGGTGGGACACACCAGTAAGGCTGTCACTCTGGATGCGACAAGACTGTTGTTGAGCTCAAGCCCAGTACTCCATAATGAGTTCCAGGCCAACCACAGCCATAAAGAAGGACCCTATCAAATCCATCTACTCTCTTGTAAAAAACAAAGCAAAGCAAAATAAGAGCATTGTGTAAATGATATCCTCCAGATCAGACCCTGCCTTCCCTGGGTGCTGGGGTGTGGCTCCCCATGGACAGAGCTCTGTTCCGTAGAGAGTGGATTCCTTTCTTGGGGATGACATAGATGTGGATGCAAAAAATTCATAATTTATTCCCGGAGTCTGGCCAGGGTTCTGGAACTTTGCTCTTTAGGAAAAGGAAGCAAAACGAGGTGTTGACAACAATATGCAACAAAAACTAACTTGGTTACAAATCTCTTTTTACCTAAATGCAGCCCCTGATTTATAAAGCATAGTAGGAAAGTCTCAGATATATTTGCAAAAATTCATCTCCACTATCAACAGCTACACAGCCCACAACCTTTTGAGGTGAGTCTTCACTTGGGGACTTTCCTGAGGGTGAGGTGTTTCTTTTGTTCTTGTTGTTGTGTTTTTTGAGACAGGGTTTCTCTGTGTAGACTTGACGACTGTACTGCACTCACTTTGTAGACCAGGCTGGCCTTGAACTCACAGAGATCCACCTGCCTCTGCCTCTCAGAGTGCAATGCGCCACCGTACTATACTGAGATGAGGTGTTTCTAATAAACGTTTGCAAACACAAACAACCTGCCTCCCCACGTCACTGAGGGGAAATGAGTAAATGCATTGAGAACAGTTGGTCTTCCAGGGAAAGAGCTGTAGTTTTGACTCCTAGAATTGACAGGGTCATCCTGACAGAACAGAGTACTTAGTCACCCTTCCCAATCCATCAGCCCAAATCAGGAATGCATTGTGAATGGGGAGGCACAAATATCGGGTTGAATGACCCCTGGATTAGTATCATCGTAACAGGAGTGGTGCTGTGACTGAGCCAAAGCTGGACAGAGAATGACTGAGCAGAAAGGTGAGAGGGAAGGTTTCCCAGGATGGACCCATGCAGAGGGGTCACTGCCGATAGAGGTGGTCCTGTGCCTTTCTGTTGCTCAGTGCACCAAACAGCCTCAACACTTTTGGAGTGGAGCATGAGAATATTACACATGGAGTGCAGGGAACTGAGTTTTCAGCTTTGGTTAGCACCCCTGAATGGTTATCACTATGGGGGCAGCTAGAGCCTGAGTGCTAAGAGGAAAGCTAAGAAGCGGCTTGAATTGAAGGAGCCGCCCAGCAGTGGCGTGAGCTCCCCGGATACTCCACAGGCTGGCCAGGGTCACCTCCTCGGGTTGGAGCTGACCAAGCCAGGAGCTGACCAGGGAGGACATCCTTAGTGTTACCCTCTTGGGCTCAGCGGGTCCCTCAGGTTTCTGGGCCAAGCACTTGCTTGTTTTTCTTATCTTTCTTTGTAGCTGGAGAGATGGAAACAGGGTTGTGTGGGGATGGATAAGATCCTGCCTCATGGGGCTGGGGAGATGGCTCAGAGGTTAAGAGCACTGTCTGCTCTTCCAAAGGTCCTGAGTTCAAGTCCCAGCAACCACATGGTGGCTCATAACCATTTATAATGAGGTCGGGTGCTCTCTTCTGGCCTGCAGAATTCTGTATAAATAGGTAGAATTCTGTATAAAGAATAAATGAATAAATCTAAAAAAAAAAAAAAAAAAAAAGGCCTCATGGTGCCTAAAAAATGTATGTGGAACCGACGTTATATGGAAGCTTTACTTTATCTTCGTCCAGAACTAAGGGAAAATTTAGGGGTGGAAGCTAAGATATCAGTGGGAAGGAAGAAAGGGAGTGTTAGAATGGGGAGCAAAGGAGGACCCACAAACAAATCTAGTTTGACCTTCTTTACTTTATTAAATTCCAATTGGTCTATCCAAGGTTGGTCAGAGCACCCCAAAACAAAAGTAACTGGAGGGTCTTAGCTTCCTATGATAGACACTCCCTAGAAAACAGAAAGGTCATCACCGAAACCAGGACCCACTGAAAGGAGGACTTGAAGAAGTGGGGAGGCAATTTTGCTGTCTCCTTTAATTGTGTTTTTGGTGCTTTGGTCTATAAGTAAGCAGGATGGAAAGAGAGGCTATTCCAAAGAGGAAAGTCTGTAGGAACCACAGGAACTGGGCCTGGCTATCTGTGATTCCTTTATGCCTGAAAAGAGAAAATGTAAACAAAAAAATTTTAGTGTTGGTTCCAGGGAATACCTGTATTCTACTTTTAATTCTATTTATAATTCCGAGGTACAATGTATGAGGATCTAGTTTGGGGCTTTTAGTTTACACTGAACCACAGAATTACTTGAGGAGCTTTAGGAAAGAAATGCTAATCAGATCACACTCTCTGGGTCTGGACCAGGCGAGCTCCTCCTTTGATTCTGTTTTGAAACTGGATTGAAAACCACTAGCCTAGAGCAATAATTCAGTTCTTTTGCAAAGTAGAAGATGGACTCCTAGTCATTTGTTCTAGTTGGTTAGGCAGAATTTTTGAAACACAGCAAAAATAGCCCAGTTAAATAACAAGACCAATTAGTATAAACACAAGCAAACTACATTTACTGAATACTCTCGTTCCAGGCTCAGGATCAGGTATAGCATCAGGCTGCACTTGAATGAGCATGCTCAGCCTGAAAGTACATTAATTATTTAAACACGGCTACTCAACACTTACATCAGATACCAAGATAAAAGCGGTAAGTTCCTATTACAAAGACTTACTTGCATAATACCAAGGCATACACGGACTCTCCCACATGAATCAGCCAAGAAAGCCAATACCTGAAATCGAAAAAGAAAAAAAAAAGTTTTTCTATTTAAGGTGATAGTCATTTGCTAATTAAATCTAACACAGAAACTTTAAAAAGAAAGGCATCTGATTACAAACTAGCCCATTGTTAGATATCTAAAGGTAACTGCAGGCTTTCCTGGCACCCGGAGAGCCTGGAAATGCAGTGTCCTTACCCATGCCTTAGCAGGCCGTGATAGTGGTCCACCAGGTACTTTGTGAAGAGACCCAGGGGTCCAAAGCTCTGATAAGGGACACTCTGAGGCCAGAAGGTCACCCACTGCAAGAGAACCAAGGGCACACACTACTCCAGCACACAGCTGTTTTTGAAAGCAGCTGTGAAACGATGATTCTACAAAAACTACAGACCAAAGAAGCTGAACAAGTCATCGAATCTTCCCTTCCCAAGTTTTATTTTCTAAAAACAACTTAATGGTGAGATTTATGCGGAGCAAATATGCTTATACGAATCAGTGTCCAGGGTGACTGCTTTTCTTAATGGATATCAGCAAAACGTTATTTGATAGAGGTTAACTAATTTTTAAAGAATTTATATGCTTTGGCTAGACTGCAGAAATCACAGCGTGAGCCAATCTATTTAATTTAGACTCGCTTTTCTTTCACTTTTTGTACCCCTAAAACTGGAGGTAGGCGTGGGAAACAGGAGCAGCTTTCTTAAGTCTTGACTGCAACTGTTGGCGTAAGGTTTCTGTAGCCGACTTACTCTTCTTGGCAGTTTCACATGCCAAGACTTTCAAGTTTTACAGTCCTGTCCATTTCTGTCAAGGTCAACGCCTTCTCTCCCTCATGTTGCTTCAGATGACGCATACTGTGCCTGCACCTTTCCAGGCGAAGGGTTGTACCTGACACCTTCACAAAAGCTCTGCTTGAACTCAAAAAAGCTTCCTCCCCTTTGTATGCCAACCTACCAGAGACACGGGACCTTAGAACAAACGTTGAAAGTCTCAATTCATGCAATTAGGACAGAGGTGATGACACTTGACAGCCACAATATTGTGGACACAGCAACCCACCGTCTCGGGAATCTTGAAATAGCATTTCTTCATAATTATACCAAGTGCGCCCATTGTATTTCCCAGCACCTTTCCCATTAGTCTTCAAACAAAATCTTTCTCAGCTGGACACAAGCTACTTTTTGTGCAGCTGTCCTCTTCCAAGCCTATGTCCAGTTATAGTCTCTCCCTTCCTTCTTATCAGTTAAGCCCTACCCACCCTTTAGGTTTGTCCCCATTTTTCAAACAATTCAAACTCAGTCAAACACTCTTCCTCTGAATCTTCTGGGTTGTTAGCTCTACGGCAAAACTAACTTCACTTCTCCCTTCCCCAAAGGATAAAACCTCTGCGACCGTGGAGGAAGAGCACGCCGGGACCGGGACAGCATCAGCTAGAAACCCCTCAGTGCCCATCGAATTCCGCAGACACCGGGAACCTGGACAGCCGTGCGCATGAGCAGAAGCCCCCTCCCCCCCACGCGCCCTTTGCCAGCAGTCGTCCCCACGCCTCACCGCGAAGTATCCCAGCGCCAGGGCGGTGACCAGCGAGGGCCAGAGTCTGGCTGCGCGGAAGTATTTAGTGGGGTCCCTACGGGCTTCCGACTTCGCCACCACCATCCTGAGAGGCCTAAACGCCGAGTCCCGGGGCGGCTTCCCACCCTCGTCCTAGCTGGGAGCGCCAGGCGAGCCGGTTCCCCAGGCTCGGCCCTGGCTGCCCAGCGCGCTTGCGCGGCTGGTGCCCGCGGCTCGCGGGCATTACCGTGTAGTAGCTGATGGAGACGGTGATGACTGTGAGCCACAGCAGACTGCACCTCTGGAAGTAACCTGCGCCTGCCTCCGTCCCCATCGCTGCAGCGACTCCACTGGACGGTGTCTGGCACCGGGTGGAAGATGGCTGCGGAGAGGCGAGCGGCGTCCTGTGCACCAGACCCAAAAGGTTTAGGCTGCGGCGGCCCGGGGAGCAGCCCTCGGTGCTTCCAGGAGCAGGACGCACCTCCCAATTTCAACTAGAGTAGCCGCCGTTTTGCCTCCCTGATAAGGGCGAGTCACGTGGCCGAGCCATTTCAGTGGGTGGTGCGTGGTGAGCATTTTGCGCCTCCTCCTTTGTTCAGTTGGGTGGAGCCATACACAGCGTTGGCCTATACAGAGTCAGGCCATCCTAAGCTGACTGTTGTTTTTATAAGTCTAGCTGGTTTCTTAGCCCCTGCGTGTTTCATTTTATCTGTAAAAACGGCCACGTGTTAGCCCTGCTCAGGTGTGGTGGCCAAAGCCTCTAATCCCAGCCCTCAGGAAGATCAGGAATTCGAGGTCATCTTTAGATACAGGAGTTCTGACCGGCCTGGGCTACTTGAGACCCTGTCTCAAAACCAATAGCCCAAACAGAAAACAAATCAAGCAGTGCATGTCAACATACATGTCGTTTAAGGTGGGAGCTGTGGGTTCTCAAGACCCACCGAGTTGGCACTGAGAGCTTACCAAACACAGTATAAGCTTTAGTTTGTTTAATCCTCAGCACGTGTGTAGGCCGCGCACAGTTGCTTCTATATGAACGACAGCAGATGCGCAGAGAGGTGCCTTGCGTCCTGTGAAGGACATGGAATAGGGATATAAAAGCCAGGTAGTCCAGGCTTTGTAAGGCGAATATTCCCAGAACTTAAGTGACATGAAAAGCAGCCCAGGTTCGGGTTCCTTATTTTTTTGAAACTGCCTTGGGCAGTAGTATTTTGAAGAAAGAATTCCAGAGGGTGTTATACAGTCTATTTCCCAGATAAACCATAGCACACAGAAACATCAAACTCATCAATGACAAAAGAGGGTGTGGTGCTTTAATCTCTGCCCCTGGGGTAGAGGCTAGAGATTCAGGAGTTCAAGGCCAGCCTGGGTTACTCTACAACAGGTTTCAGAAAAACCCAGGCATCTGTGGCCGTGCATGCTTGTGATCCCAGAGTTTCAGCAGTTGAAGGTAGGCCTCAGATATGTAGGGAGTGGGCAGCCTAAACTACAACAAACAAACAGTCACCCCTGCCAGACATACACACTGCTGTAGTGCGATTTAATCCTTCTTTTCTTGCTCAAACCATTCTTCTGGTCCTGTTTCCCGGCTTCTTTCACGTCTTATCTCCGAGGTGAAAGTTTTTAGCTTCTCTTCTTATTTTTGAGATTGGGTTTTCACCGCCATCCGAGGACTTTAGAGTGGTCTCTAACTTGGCTCTCGGTCTGTTTCCTAGGTTGACCGACAGTCATCTTTACCGAGCAGGCCCACACACCCCAAGACAAGAAATCCATTGTCAGCTTCTAGAGTCAGTCCTTGTCAAGACCTGTTGGAGGCACCCTCCTCCCACTTTGTGTCCATTTGTTTTCTTTCCTATTCAGTCAGCTCTAGAACAGAACCGCTTAAACTTTTCTACTCATGACCTCTTTCACTTGAGAGATTTTTGGTTGTTGTTTTGTTTTTTGAGACAGGATTTCTCTGTTTAGCCCTGGCTCTCCTGAACTCTCACTTGAGAGACTTTTATGCGACCCCCACATATTAATGGGCGTATAAAATAGGTATTTAGAACATTGCTGACAGTAAATCAAACCATTTTAACAGTTGTGGTATACACATACTTTTAACATTTTACCAAGAACATTTCCAAATGCACGCGCCAATGAAATGAATGCAAGTGTCCACTTACATAAAGGAATCTTAGTGTCAAAGTGGCTCTGTGGGCTAAGGTACTTGTTGTTAAATGCTATGGCCTGAGTTTGACCCTCACAAGCCATGTATTGGGTACAACATAGTATGTGCCCATGCATGCAGTAAATAATTGAAAGATCCCCGGAGGGTATCTTCCGTCAGAGAGACCCCCTCCCAAGGAACAACGAGGCCATTCGGATGCAAACAGCAAGAGGCTTTTATTTTGATACACGGGTACCCGGGGCAGCAAGGTCCCTCGGGAGGACTTTGCGCGCCCCCTAGATAGGAAGCTGGGGTTTTTATAGGGTTTTAGAGCAGAAGCACTGGTACAGAAGCGAGAAGCATGGTTACAGGGGGCTGATTGGTACGTTTACATGAGACCACGATTTGCGTCAAAGTTTGGCAGGGGCACCAAGATTCCAGGAACTGGGTGGTCAAGGGGGTTATGATGACCCCTTGACGTGGCCCGCCACCTGTTATTTTGTTTTTCTCTATCTTAACTGAAACAGTCTCACAGATATCCATGAGGGTGATTAACACAAACTGTTTTTAGTTTGACTGGGGCAGCCTGACCACAGATATCCCAAGTGGGTGACACAGCTAGGATTTCTCAGTAATTTTCCAGTTTCTCATCTGGCCTTCAGAGTTTTACAAAACAGTGGTGTCCCACAAAATGGCGTTAGCTATGTTTAACTTAGTGTGAGGCTGGGGTCTTTCATAATAAATAATCGTTACATAAAGATTGATTTACATATCGCCCGAATGTTTAATTCCGAGGGACATAGGCTGTTTTCAGTGCTCTCCAGAGTTAGTCCAGTGGTAATATTAAAATAGCAGTGCTGAGGGTGCTGCTTTCTATAGACATGTGGCATGAACTGGCAGCAGTATGTTTAGGGCCATTTCAGGGATTATTTGGAAGTTCATCCTGCTCTCAAGCCAAAAGTCATTTAAAATGCTTACAAATGAAAGTCAAGTCATCAACTTGAACAGCAGCTTTAAGTATTCCAGCCAGGCGGGGGTGTAATCCCAGCACCAGGAGGCAGAGTTCGAGGCCAGCCTGGTCTGCAGAGAGAGTTCTAGGACTGCCAGGGCCACACAGTGAAACCCTGTCTTGGCAAAAAAAACCGATACCAAACCAAAAACTAATGTTTCTTTCGGTTTGGAGAGATGGCTCAATGGTTAAGAGCACTTGCTGAACAATCATGAGGCCTAGAGTTCAAATGTATGTGATTCCAGCTCCAAAAGATCTGACGCCTTCCCCTGGCCGGTTCATATGCACAGGCATGTACACCACCTGCACACACACACACACACACACACACACACACACACACACACACACACTTTGGAGCTTTCAAAGTGTCTCAGTAAGTAAAAGCCTCACAGCCTGAATTTGATTCCTGGAACTCATGTATATTAGTTTTTTTCTGTTATGATCAAAAGTACTATGACCACAATGACCAGGGCTCATGATTTGGCTCAGTGTCTGAGAGCATTCCTGCTGCTCTTGCAAAGGACTGGGGCTTGATTTTCAGCACCCATGTGATGGTTCACGACTGCCTGTAACTCCAGTACCAGGGGATCTGATGCCATCTTCTGACTTCTTTAGACACCAGGCCTGTGTGTGCTGCACAGACATACATGTAGGCAAAATGCTCATAGATATAAAATAAATGAATCTAAAGAAGTTTTAAAAGAACCAAAGCAACGATAAAACCCCACTATGATCAAAAACAACTCACGGAAAGAAGAGGTTATTTTGCTTACTTTTCTACATGAGGACTCCTTAATGGCAAGGAAAGCATGGGAACAGGAAGCTGGTTGATTTTCTCCAGCACAGGAGGCAGAGAGAACTAGAAGTAGGATGAGGTTACGTCTTAGCTTGGGTTTTATTGCTGTGAAGAGCCACCATGACCATGACAACTATTCCAAGGAAAACATTTCATTGGGGCTTGCTTACAGTTTCAGAGGGTGAGTCCATTATCATCACGGTGGGAAGCATGGTGGCATGCAGGCAGACGTGGTGCTGGAGGAGCTGACAGTTCTACATCTTGATCAGCAGGCAGCAAAAGGAGACTGTGACACACTGGGCATAGCTTGGGCATAGGGGACGTCAAAGCCCACCCCCACAGTGACAAACTTTTTCTAACAAGTCCACACCTTCTCCAACCAGGTCACACCTCCTAAAAGTGCCACTCGCTATAGGCCAAGCATTCAAACACATGAGTCTGTGGGTGCCATTCCTGTCTGAACCGTCACAGATTATAAACTTCCAAAGACCCTCCCACCCACTAAGAGCATGACCTGACCTATTCTAAAGGTTCTAACTTTCACAAACAGAGCTATCAAGTAGAGACCAAGTGTGTGAACATGTCTTCTATCACCGTACTCCAGACATGGTAAATTCCTTGGTGTTTCCCAACCCTCAGGCCTTCTCATGGAGGGAAAGAGTGGTGCAACCCACAGCCCAAGGATCTTACTGTTAGTATGCTGGCTAGTCTCTGTCAGTGTTCATAAGGTAAGGTCATCTAAGAAGAAATCTTAATCAAGAAAATGTCATCATTTTCTTGATTGATGATTGTCCGAGCCAATTTTGGGCGATGCCACCCCTGGGTAGGTGGTCCTGGAGTATATAAGAAAACAAAGTGAACAAACCAGGAGAAACAAGCTAATATGAGAGGACCTGACTAACTCCATTTTGAGACTGGGCCCAAAACCTAGTGGAGGAGCCAGGCAGTGGTGGCTCACACCTTTAATCCTAGCACTTGAGAGGCAGAGGCAAGGATGAGTTTGAGGCCAACCTGGTCTACAGAGTGAGTTCCAGGACAGCCAGGGATACACAGAGAAACCCTTTCTGGAAAAGCAAAGCAACAACCCACCCCTGAAAACAAAGAACCTGAGGGAGGTTATCAAGAAGGCTAGGTGGGTAAAGGTGCTTGTTTCCAGGCTCATCTGGAACCCAGATGGTGGAAGCAGTGAACTGACTCCCAAAGGTTATCCTCTGACCTCATCTTGTAGCACATTCATGCTTACACACTGTAAATAGATACTTAAAAAAAAATTCTCCTC